CAGAGACAGAGACAGAGACAGAGACAGAGAGAGACAAAGAGATCTGTAACTACCAGATAGATATCTGTATCAGATCAGATATATGTATCAAATAGATCTCAGATAACTATATGTATCTATAGGGAAAGACAGATCTATCTATCTCTATCTCTCTATCTCTCTATAGGGATACATATATATATATAGAGAGAGAGAGATCTAACTGTATCTGTCTATATGTTAGATCCATCTATCTATCCATATATATATATATATATATATATATAGTTCTATAGTATATGTGTGTGTGTACATATGTATATGATCCAGTAATTGCATCTCTGGTTCAGAGCCTGGTCTTTAGATTCCTTTTAAAGTCCTATCTCCATTTTTACTCCAAGATCCTGAACATGTCACTCATTGAATCCCACAATGCCATTGTCAGGGGCTATTAAAAACCTCTTAGCTGGGTGCTGGTGGCTCACGTCTGTAATCCTAACTCACTCAGGAGGCTGAGATCTGAGGATCATGGTTTGAAGCCATATTCTTATCTCTGAATTTTCTAGCCAAAAGCTGGAAGCAGAGGTGTGGCTCAAGTGGTAATAATACCTGCCTTGAACAAAAAAAAGGTAAGCAGAAGTATGAGGCTGATTTCAAGCCCAGGTAGCAGTATGAATAAACAAATAATTATCTTTGATGGTGGAAAGACCAAAAATGCTTTCAAATTAAGCTCAGAGCCAAAGCTGAACTGTGCCTGTTGTTCATTCTCAATAGATGGCCCCATGTCCCTATCTAGCAGGAGAGAGAGTGTGGCTCAGGAAGCATGAGGGCTGGCGTGGGTGCATGCAGCCCACTGTCCTGCCTCTCACTTGTAAGCACTTCCTTGTCACCCAGCCAGGAGGCATGGTCCCCTTCCCAGGCTGCCTGGGAATTACTTCCCTCTTGTTCATGTCTGTTCTTGCACAACTTTCTCCAGCTTGACCTCAGGAAGGAAGAGCCCAATCTCTGCATGGTGGATGGAGCTACATTTCCAGGACTTCTGGGACCATTTCATGCTGCTCTTGGCATGTTTTCCCCCAGGGAGGATGGGCTTGAAGTCCCGCAGAGCCCTGAGACATCCAGGCTGTGTTTTGAGATCCCTCTGGCCATGGGAAAGGAACACTGTCCCAGTCCTGAAGGTCACCCCTCCCAGAACAGAACGACAGCTTCTGACCTCAGGGATAAGACACAGGCGAGATGATTTATTTTTCCTCCTCTTTGAATTTCTCTTAGCAAGTCACAGGATTCCTTGGAGTCTCCAGTTCCTGCCCCGGTCACTTGGCAAAGCCTGTTTTCTCTGTGACCACAGCCTCTCAGGCACCAATGTGCGGCTTCTTCCTACGGGCCCCTCCCCTGCCTGAGGGTTTCCGTTTCTGGAATTTGGCTCAGGTCCTGTACTTTCTGCTCCCTCCTCCTTGAGAATATGTAGTCAAAGGACAGAACAGGGTCAGGCACCAGGGTCTTATGCCTATAATCCTAGCTACTTGGGAGGCTGAGATCTGAGGATCTTGGTTTGAGGCCAGCTGGGTTAAGAAAGTCCATGAGACTCATCTCCAATTGCCCAGCAAAAAGCTAGAAGTAGAGCTATGGCTCAAGAGGTAGAGTGCTAACCTTGAGCAGAAAAGCTCAGGGCTAGTGCCTAGGGCCACGGCCTAAATTGAAGGAGAGAATCAACCCATTCACCAGGCACCAAGCGAGGACATCAGAGCAGCATTAAGCAGGACAGGCAGGAGGGTGGAATTGAGAGGATGAGGGCCAAGCTGGGCAGACGTTCATTCCCAGGTTTATGGAGGCAAGACCTGGCCCCAGTGTGGTCCATGGGTGCCAGTCACGGCAAATTTTCCAGGGGCAGATGTACAGGTTGATCCAATGGGCACAGGCCCATGGGGAAAGCCGCAAATCAGGCACCCTAACCTTCTTCACTGACAGCCACCAGTTGTGACTTGCAGAAATGCATGGATTGGAGGGGCCGGTAGCATTTGAGTAGGCCTCTGTGATCACCCTTGACCTCAGCATTGTGGTTTTGGTATAAAATAGTGCCCAAAGGCCACATGCTTAGAAAGAAGGCTGTGAGGTCACTTTGGGAAGTGGCGGAATGCCTAAGGGGTCGGGCTTAGTAGAAGGAAGTGAGGTCACTGGGGGTATGCCTCTGAAGGGGACAGTGGGACCCTGACCAAGGGGTCCTTGCTTCCATTTTACTTCCAGGCCACGAGAAGGAAGATGATTTACTCTACCACATGCTCCTGCCATGATTTTCTTTCTTGCAAAACAACCAAGCCAACTGCCTGTAGACTGTAAGCTCAGAAATCATGGGCTGAAATAAATCTTTCCTCTCTTCAATTTGATTTTCTTAGATATTTTGTCATAGTAACAGAAAGCTGACAAATACACTTGTGCATCCCAGGGCTGGGGAGACCAAACTTTAATGTGGGATGACTGCGTTGCTTGCTGTGTTTGGAGACTCAGCCATCACCTGTTCAGAATGAAGGAACTTAAGGGAGAGACTGAGGCAGGAAGGAAGAAGAGTTTCATACTCCCCGTGACAGGCCAGACACAGGCATCCCAGGAAGCAAACCCTGAGAGATTCTCTGTAGCCACTGAGGCTTGAACTCAGGGTCAAGCATTGTCCCTGGGCTATTTTGCTCAAGGCTAGCACTCTATCACTTGAGCCATACCTCCACTTCCAGGTTTTTAGTAGTTAACTGGAGATACAAGTCTCATGGACTTTCCTGACTGGACTGTCTTTGAACCACAATCCTCAGATCTCAACCTCCTGAATAGCTAGGATTATAGGCATGAGCCATTGGCGCCCTATGGCACTATAGTTTTATGACATTTTTATCAAATCCCCCAAGTTCCCTCTTTCCCTTTTACAACTAACCTCCATTCCTACCTACAATTATGGGGAGCCTGATTTTACCTCCCATCTCTGTAAATACACCTTTCCTAGGCATTTGGTTGAAACAAAATAATACAATTGTTAAATGTTGCATCTGGCGTCATTCATTTAGTCATGTTTTGATTCCAGCCTTTGTCTGTATTCTGTATTCCTTACCAAGTAGTACTTTATTGTACACACTGCTAAGTTATGTTTATTCATTCACAAGTTAATGAACAAACTTAGATTGTCTCCAGCTTCAGCTGCAATGAATAAATCAACTATGAACAATTCCACATGGCTGTTTATGTGAGCATTTTCCTATGACAGATCACTACACGTGGAATTTACTGGTTCATATGGTTAGTGGTGTAATGTCTTTAAAAACTATAAACTATTGTCTTGTTTGGTTGCCCCATTCCTACCAGCAATGCATGAGGATCCACTTTCTCTACTCTTTTGTCAGTTTTTAACATTGTCTGTCACTATGATCATAGCCATTGTAGTAGAGAGAGTTGTGGTATTGCACTGTGATTTTTTTTTTGGTTGGTTGTGTGGCTTGAATTCAGCCTGGGTGCTTTCCCTGAGTTCTTTTGCTCAAGGCTAATGCTGTATCATTTTGAATCATAGCTCTACTTCTGTTTTTTGGTGGTTAATTGGAGATAAGGCTCTCATGCATTTTCCTGCTCTGGCTGGCTTTGAACTGTGATCCTCAAATCTCAGCCTCCTGAGTAGTGAGGATTACAGATGTGAGCCACCAGCACGCCACTGCACTGTGATTTTAATTGGAATTTCCCTAATGATTTTCCTAAGGATACACAAAATATTTTCATGTACTTAATAGCACATTTGTTAGGGAACTTTATATTCAAATCTTTTTGTTCATTTGTAATTGTGCTATTTGTCTTCTTCTTATTGAGTTAGAAAAGCTCTTTATATAATTAGGAACTAATTTTCTTATCACTATCTGATCAGTAGGGATTCTCTCTCATATGGTGGTTTATCTTTTCTTTGCTTTAGTGGTATCTTTGGAAAGCCAAAGGTTTTTAATTTTATCAATGTATTTGCTTAGAAATACTGCACAGTGTCGCAAAGGTTTTTCTCATAGATATTTTACAAATTTATCCTTTACACTTAGGTCTAATTTCCCATCAATTTTGAGGACAGTATAAGATAAAGGTCTCTGTGTTTTTGTCTATGGACAGTTCTGGGCCCTAGAACCTTTCATTAAAATGACCTTACCATAGGGCTGTCCTGGCATTTTTGCCAAGATTCACCTAACATTTAGTGTAAGGATCGATTTCTGGGCTCTCAATTATGTTCTATTGACCCCATGCTTATATTTGACCAACTTTTCATTTGCTTGATTCTTGTAACCTCAGAATAAGTTTTGAAAAGAGGAAAAGAAAATGCTCTCTGTTCTTTCTGAAAATTGTCTTCTAAAAATCTAGAATCAGCTCATTAGCATAAGCAGAACCGTGCCATTGTTAAACCAGCATCAATTAGTTGTACAAGCGGGGGGGGGGGGTAGATTCTGATATGTCCATTTATGCACACAGAGCATCTTGATCAAGATCATCCTCTCATCATTCTCCCTCCTCTTCCCTCCACAAACCAGTCTCAGCAAGTTTCGTTGCTCCATTTTCACACATGCACACAAAGTATTTTGGCCACATTCGCCCTCCTGTATCCTCTGTGTTTGCCCATCCCCCTCACACTAGTATCCACCTATGTGGTACACACAAGGTAATTGTTCAAAGAGGCCTCATCATCTAAAACGATTGTAACCTGTGCTGTATGCTCCACCAGCAAAGGTGAGTGGGGATGGGCAGAACAAATCAGTCCTCTAGAGGGCGATTAGGGGTGTGTACTCAGAAGGTAGCTTGGTTCAGCCCTTCCAGCCCTGAACACCCACATGGCTGGTACCCTGAGCCACTTGCCATCTGATTTTGCAAATAACACAATTTCAAACGCACAAACACATGCTGAGCACACATTTATAGACTTTGTGCATTCATGTGCAGATCTTCTCAGTTAAAAAATGCATATTTCACCAAAAGAAAATAACAAGTCATTGCATATGGAACTAAGAAAATCTCCCTACCTGTTCTGAGGGCATTTCACCAAATAATGTCTCACTGTAAAAGAAAAACAAAGAACAGAAGACAGTAAATAAATGGTACTTTGGATACACTCAAGTCATTCCCTAAAATGCAGGAACTCTGGTCTTTCTGGGTGTTGGTGCTATACCACCCCAAGGGCTTCTTGCATGCTTCTCTTTGGAGGAAATGCAGCAGAATGATACAAGCAGGTACAGAGATACCAGGGGTTTGATTTTCTCCAGCTGTGCATGAGCCAAGTGAGAAGCCTCACACCTCAGGCTTCCTGGTTACCTAACCTATATATAATGTTCATTTGGGGCCAATGCATGTTGAGTTGGGTCCTAACCTGAAGGGTCCTGAACTAATAAAGTCGCCCAACATCTGAGCTCAGTCTTAGTCATGAGGAAGTGTTTTGGGGTCAGATCAGGTAATACATCTCCATTCAGAAGCTCCTCAGTATAAAATGGTTTCATTCTTTAATGAACACTCTTTCAAGATGCAAAAGAGGCCTTTGCAAAGCTGGGCTTTGTAGTGGTATATGCCTGTCATTCCAGCACATAGAAGGCTCAGGTATGAAGATGAACATTTCCATGATCTTTCCAGGACAGCCTGTGCTATAGAGCAAGTTCCAGGCCCATCTGGAGTACATAATGAGACTTCAGTTTTGTTTTGTTTTGTTTTTAATGAGCTAAGTGTTGGTGGCTCCTATCTGTAATCCTAGCTACCCAGGAAGTTGAGATCTAAGGATTGAGACTTGAAAGGAGCTCAGGCAAGAAAATCTGTGAGGTGCTATCGCCAATAAACTTCCCAAAAGCCAGAAGTGGAGCTGTGGCTCAAATAATAACGCACTAGCCTGGATCTAAAGAAGCTCAAGAACAATGTTCAGGCTTGAATTCAAGCCCCAGGATCAGCATACACAATAAATAAATAAATAGATATCCTTGATAAACCAGTCTTGGAGCAAGACATCCTTGTACAGTAGGTCTTTTGGGGGGGAACACTAAATGATTCTGGCTGCAAAGGAGAAACAAAATACTGGACCATTAATCTGTCAAGTATCCAATTGAAGGTTTGCAGCTGGGCTCAGTTCAAACAGAAGGAAAGCTGAAACAGCCAACAGGACCTGTGTTTGCTGCCTTACGCAGTGACTCTGGGCTCAGCCGCATGCCTTGCCTGGGCCAAAGGAGTATTAGCCAATGTAGAACAAGTCAACACCTAAAACACCCACCAGGAGATGAAAAGGAGACAGCAGGCTTCACAGCTGAGACCCCAGGAGAGCCCAGTCTCAGCCCCTTCCGTAAGTAGATTACATCTGCAACAATGACTCCAGGTGAGACTAGCAAACAAACTGTCCCACCGAGTCTAGCCCAAATTGAAGACCATGAAATTCCAGGCAAATGAAACATCTGTGTCATGCCGCATCACATTTGTGGGTGATTTGTGTAGGAAAAATACAGGATCCAGAGCAGGACCCAGCATCCAGCACTATAAAACTTTTTGTATGTCAAAACCTAGGAGAAAGCCCATGGAAAAAAACACCTCAATGTCAACCTCCCAGCCTCAGAACTGTGAGAGCACAACTATCAGTGATTTCCTATGACATAAATGTCTGAGTCCCGTCAGGAGCTAGTGGCTCACACCTGTAATCCTAGCAACCTAGGAGGCTGAGATGGGAGAATCGTGAATCAACACCAGCAGGAACAAGAGTCCATGAGACTCTTATCTCCAATTAAGCACAAGAATCCAAAAGTGGTGCTGTGGCTCAAGTGGTAGAGTTAAGCAAATAAAAGCTCAGAGCTAGCACCCAGGCCCTGTGTTCAAGCTGCAGGACAGGAACAAAAATGAATTAATCAATTAATTAAAATAAAAAATAAGTGCCCGAGCCCTGTCTGAGGGCTTTGCTGAGCACACTGAGTACACTGAGCACTGAGGAAAGAGCAGATGCCCTCTTCAATCCCTGTACCACTCACAAAACCATGAGCAGGCAGCACTGAGCTCCCTACAGATGGAGAAACTTCAGAGTCTCCCAGGATTCCACAGCAGGAGCCAGCCAGGACTTAGGCTGGAGGTAAGAGAGTCCCAGGAGCTGGCCTGTGTTGGGAGAGGTGAGGAAAGATGACAGCCTGAAGGCTTTGGAAGTGAGGAGCCTGGAAAGAAATGGAGGTGGCAGCTAAGAAAAGCAAGGAGCCTAGTCAGCATAGGTTACAGAAGGTGCATGCCAGTTTGGTGTGGGGGGTGGGGAAGAGGGGAGTCTGAGGCCAAAGCCAGGTACATGCAGGGCTGGCACTCCCATTCATAAAGAGATTCTAGACACAGGTGACTATGCATCAGCAGTGCTGATTATAGAGTGTAGGGAAAGTTAGTGTGGAGCCCCACAGAGGCAGAGACCCCAAGGTAAGAATTTGGATGCAGTAGTGTTTAAAAGGAGATCCTAGGGGCCCCAATGGGGAGCTGGGAAGGATCAGGGAAGAGAAGAAAGCCTTTTATTAAGAGTGGATAATGGAACAAACTTTCTCCATGGGTGACTTCACCCAGCACACTGGATCCAAAGACTGGTTAGCCAGCCCACTCAGGGCAGGCATCTGTGTGTGTGTGTGTGTGTGTGTGTGTGTGTGTGTGTGTGTGTGTGTGTGTGTGTGTGTGTGTGTGTGTGTGTCCTGGGGCTTGAACTCAAGGCCTGAGCTTTTTTTGCTCAAGACCAGAGCTCTACAACTTGAGCCACATCTCTACTTCTAGCTTTTTCTTTTGTGGGGGTGAAGGTTGTTAAAGGTAAGAGTCTCATGAATTTTCCTGCAATCCTCAGATCTCAGCCTTCTGAGTAGCTAGGATTATAGGCATGAACCACCCAAGCCAGGCTGGGGTATGAATCTTTTTCAATGGTAGTCTTTCAAACTGTGGAATGTCAAAGGCTGAAAGGAAGATAAGTCTTTCCTATATCTGCTGCCAGAAAGCCACAGTCCTGAGCCACACCCTGCCCTTTCTCCTCTTCCTTAGCCAAAACCTTGGATCACCACAAATGCAGGCAGATTTGGTCTCCATTGGCACTGTCTCTGTCGCCTGGCAGCTGGGTGCCCATCTGATCAGCCCTGCATGGGGGCCAGGCCCTTCCAGGTGTGGCTGGCCTGCTCTCACCTCTGATCTGCTCACCCTGTACTTGGGTCCTACGGAGATGCTGTATTGGATCCCTGATGCCTCTACTTTGTTCATTGAGTGTTTCTCACCCACTGTGAGTCTCCAAGATGGGTGCCTCTACTTTCCTGCAACCTCAGCCAGTGCAGGGAGCCCAACAGTGTAGAAAAGCACTGCTAATATTTGAGATCCAGCCCATGAGCACTGCCCGCAGTTCCCTGCAGGGAGAGACAAGACAGAGATACCCCCTCCCCCACACAGTCCTGTGTTCTCACCATGTGAGACCTGAAGGCCCACAACATCCAGGAAACAGCCCTGCCCTGCCCAGAATACAATCCCATTCATAATCTTTTCTTTTTATTTTGTGCCAGTACTAGAGCTTGAGCTCAGGGCCTGGGCACTATCCCTTAGCTATTTTGCTCAATGTAGTCACTCTACCACTTGAAACACAACTCCACTTTTTGGTGGTTAGTTGGGGCTCAGTGTCTCCTGTGTCCTTTTCTGCCCAGGCTGACTTCGAACTGTGATCCTCAGATCTCAACTTCCTAAGTAGCTAGGATTATTACAGCCATGACTGTCCTGCCTATCCATACATACTTATATAGCCTTTATTTTAAGAGTTAAATATAAAAGATGATTGCCTTTTCCAGATCTCAAATATTCTCAAAAGAAGAGATGAAAATATTAGAATTTGCTTTACTGTATGATAAATCACCTTCCTCTTTCTCCTTTAATTGAAGAACAGTAAATTGACTTGAGAGGATACAGGCTGCACACCTTACTTATCTATAAATTTCATGTCAAATTAATAATTGGAACATTTAAGAATATTTGTTATAAGCTGAATATGGTGGTGCACAGCTGTAATTCCAGCTACATAGAAGGTAGGAGTGGAGGGTCACAGTCTAGGCCAGCCTGGGGCAAAAGTGAAGACCCTATCTGAAAAAAATATCTGGTAAAACACCTGCCTAGTAAGCATGAGACATTGATTTCAAATTCCAGTAACACACACACACACACACACACACACACACACACACACACATACACACAGAGGTTGTTTGGTACTGGTGGCTCATGCCTGTAATCTTAGCCACTCATGAGGCTGAGATCTGTGGATAACTAGTTCAGGCAGGAAAGTCCATGAGACTCTTATCTCCAATTGACCAGCAAAAAAGCTGGAAGTAGGACTGTGGCTCAAGTGGTAGAGTGCTAACCTTGAGCAAAAAAGCTAAGGGACAGTGCCCAGGCCCTAAGTTCCAGCCCCAGAACTGGCACAATAATAATAATAATAATAATACTATGCTTTAGAATGTTTGCAGCTTCTGCTCTAGGACTGCTGGGCCCAGGTAAGGGGGCCACTTGAGCCCATCATATGCACCCCTTTGTCCTTGCCCTCGGTGTGTGTGGAGTGCATGGCTCCTGGGCCAACAGTGGGTGAGACCTGTCCAGCCTGCATCATAGGATACCATCCTGTGATCCTGAGAAGAGTCACACAGGACCAAGCTGAGGAGCCGGGGAAGATGGAGCTCTTTGGAGTGTGGATGGACATTCCTTCAGCCATTTCTAGAATTTCTAGGATTTCTAGAATTGAAATATGGTAGACCTGAGGAGTGGTTGGGCCTGAGCCTCACCTCTGTCCTTCTATTTTGAGGCCTTACCAGTCCCCTGAGCCTTGCTCGGCTGACACAGGAGCTAGGCAGGGTGCCATCCAGGACTGAATGAGGACTTGGAGGAGCCATACCAGGAGCCTGGCTTACAGCAGGTACTCAGACTGCATTGGCCAGCTGAGGAGGGCTTTTAAATGCTGAGTACAGGTGCCCATGCTCATTCTCTGAATTTTCCGTGAGTCCAGGAGAAGGTTCCAGCAGCTCTTGTGTGTCCCGATTGTCCTTTGTGGCTCTGCTTTCCCCACCCCACCCCCCACCAGTCCTGCTATGGACCTCATGGGGCCTGCAGCTCAAGTGTGATCTTTCATGCCAAGCCCTGGCACAGGACCCTATAGAAAACAGCTGGTCTGGAAACTGCTCTAGATCTTCCAAGCTCCAGCAGCTGGGAACAGCAGCTGGGAAACAAAGCCATTTGTTCACCATTTGTGAAGTCAAGTTCCAAACAAGGCAAGTCACACCCACGGTCCCTATATCACAGTGACCTCAGGAAGGGAGGTGTGTGCCAACGCCATGTACAGCATGTGCCACTAGCTGAGAGAGGCTGTTAAAGGGGGCTGAATGAGACAGAAGGGTGGGGCCACAGAGAGGGTAGGTGTCACGGAGCTGGCTATGGAGGCCCGCAGTCACTCCCTGCTGGACAGATTCTCCGAGCTGCAAAATGGAGGCTTCCTGAGAGACAAGGACTCCAGCAACCCCAAGCAGCACTCACAGAGAACTCAAGAACAGCAGAACTCACAGGCCTGAGAAAGACAAGCAGGAAGAGAGAATGAGCTAGGGATGACAGAGAGTAGGAAACCAGTAATACTGACAAGAAAGGAGGCAGGCCGTGTACAGTAGCTCATGCCTATAATCCTAGGTACTTGGGAGGCTGAGATACAGAGGATTATGGTTCAAAGCCAGCCTGGGCAGAAAAGTCCTTGAGGCTACATGACCAAGTCAATCAACAAAAAGCCAAGCTAGAGATGCGGCTCACATGGTAGAAAACCAGCTGAGCTAGAAAGCCAAGTAATCATGAGGCACTAAGTTTAAACCCCAGCACCAGAAAGAAAACAAACAAAGGTAGGAGGGAACACTCAGGCAAAGAAAGTAGGAAGAACTGCAGATGCCAGCTGCCTGTGAAGTGACAGCTCTTGATAATAATAAGAAGTTGCATCCAAGGAAGGATATGTACGATATATAAAGCCCCTTCATGAATGAGAAGACTCGAAGTCCAGAACAGTTTAGGATCACATCCAGTCTTAAGAGATGGAGCCAAAAATGCAGCCCCCAGGCTTTGTCCATGCCCCGCAGCTTCTTCAGAGCAGGGAAAAATGAGATGAGAGGGATTGTGGATCTCAGAAACCCAGGAGGAAAGGAGCTTGAAGCAAAGGAGCATCCAGACAATGCCACAGCCGTCAGTGTATTTCAGCAGTGTCTGAGAGAAACACATCCGCACGCTGACCTTGCTTGCCAGTTCCTGTAATGCCTGACTCAGGATGTCTTTTCCTCCAAAGTACTACTTTGCCCAGCACCTTCTACCGGTCTGTGGGCGGTGTCCTCTTTTCCAGACATGACCTTATCTGTTTTCTTACCTCGGGATTTCCTCTTGTGAAACACAGACTGGCAGAAGATGACCAGGGTGAAGAGCAGAACGCTGAGGATGCCCACACAGCACACGAGGACAGCGCACACATAGAGATCTGAAAGAGAAGGGCACACGGGGGGTCAGTGCTGTGGGAACTGCATGCTCACCTAACAGTGCTAGACGTCCCCCTACCACAGTGCAGTATGTGGCTGGAAGGACACAGATGAATCAAACGGAATCAAGAGCCCAGAAATGGGCCCTTACAAGTATGTTCAATCTTTATTTTTCCCTAGTATGAGACTTGATCTGAGGACCTTGAGGTCTTACTCTGCTTTCTTCTACATGGTTGGTGCTCTACCACTGGAGCCATGCCTTCATCCTGGACTTTTGATGGTAAATTGGAGATGGGACTTCCAAAGACTTTTTTTGCTTGGGCTAAATTCCAACCATGATCTTCAGCTCTCAGCCTCCTGAATAGCTAGGAATAATATGTCAGTGAGTCACCAACACCTGACTCAAATGATTTTTTTTTTTGCCTATTACAAAAGTGCTTCAAGTTGGTGGCTCCGCCTGTACTCTTAGCTACTCAGGTGGCTAAGATCTAAGTATCTTGATTCAAAGTAGCCTTGAACAACAACATAAAATAAGCTCAGGGACAGCACCAAGGCTCTGAGTTCAAGCCTCAGAACCAGTACCAAACACACACACACACACACAAAACAGTGTAAGTGAAGATTCTTCCCTATGTGTTGAAGTGGTCAGACTTCCTTCCATTGCCAAAATTATAGAGATAAGAATTCAAAATGAACCACAAATCTAAGTTTAATTTAGGCAGAAAAAAGCATAAGAGAGAAATCTGTAGACTCTAAGCTGAAGCAGAGACTTAATAGCAGAAATACTCCCCATATAAGTAACACTTGAGGTGCTGGAGTGAAACGAGGTGCTGAGCTCAGACCCAGCATCCATCAGGCCCTGAGTTTGGTACCCAGTAAATAGCAAAACAAAACAAGAAGTAGAACTTAACCAATTTGATTGCATCCATATTGAAAAGTTTTGCTCTGTAACCAACCCTGTAGAGTCAAGCTACAGATTTATCTAAAATGTGAAGATTTCTCCAAACATAACATAAGATAATCTAACAATCCTCTCATGAAAAAGCAAAACATAGAGACATTGCCAAAGAGAATGTGCAGGGAGCAAAGAAACACATGAGAATTTCCTCAGCCATTAAAGGAATAGAAAGTACAACCACAGAGAGATATCCCACACAGCATTCAAAATGGCTCAAGTAAGAACTAGTAGCAGTACCAAATGCTGGCAAGGTGTGGATGAACCATGGCATTCAGAAATTTCTGGACAGTAAAAAGGCCTGAATCTTACTGTGGGCAGCTTGGTATTCTATCCGTTCTTTTCCATAGCAAATGATTCAAGCATTCATAAACATGAATCTCGATACACTGATCACATTATACTATTCAGATTTAATTCCTAGAGCAGGAACATACCTTTGTAAAGCCCTTGTCTTTGAAGAAATGTGTGTGTGTGTCTGTGTGTCTGTCTTTGTGTCTGTCTGTCTGTGCATACTCAGGCACATACACATCAGTATTGGGGTTTGACCTCAAGGCCTCAAACTCTCATTTGGCTCATTTGGCTCAAGGCTCGCACTCTATCATTTGAGCCACCTACACCTCTACTTCTGGCTTTTCTTGCTGTTTGATAAGAGATAAGAGACTCAAGAATTTGTCTGCCTGGGCTGGCTTCAAATAGCATGTCTTCAGATCTCAGCCTCCTGAATAGCTAGGATTGCAGGTGTGAGCCACTGGCGCTCAGCTGGAAGTGGATATTTGAATTCTTAAGCTGAAAAGGCCAGCATACCAGTAGGGACAAGTGGCAGGGGTGGTTGGTGGCTGGCCTCTGAGGGGAGCCTGGAGATGTGGGTCGGACTGGCAATCAGTGGAACGGGGAGAGGATAGACCAGGATATCTAGTGAGTTCCACCTCTTTCTTCCATGGTCCCAGGCTCAGGGAGGCCCAGGGCAGCCTCTTCCCTATAGTCCAGGAGGTCTTTGTCTGAGACCAGGCCTGAACTTGGTATCCGATGCTTTTGCTCACTGGCTGATTTTTCTACCACCTCCAACCCCATCTTCTTATTTTCTTAGGCATGGTCAACATTTATTTCTAAGCTACTTTGAGTAGGTTTCTGTGGCTGGCCACTAAACATTCTACACTCAAAATAAAATAAAATGGTCAGCCCTCTGTACCTGCAGCTGATCACACATGGATCAGAAACATCTGGAAAAGGGGGTGGGGGCTCCAGTGAACATACATAGACATTTTCCTTGCCATCATTCCCTAAATAATGCAGTACAGAAACTACAATATACCTGACACTTTATCAGGCATGGTAAATCATCTAGAGATGATTAGAAATATTCCAGAGGGTTATGTAGATTCCATTCAAATACAACACTATTTTCTCGAGCATCCATTCATAGGATTTTGTTCTGGGGGTTGCATGCAGAAAAATCATGGGATCCATTGAAACTGAGAAGGATGACTTTTTTGGGATTAATTTACTTAATGGTTATTATAGAGGTGACATACAGAAGAATTACAATTGCATGAGTCAGGTCATGAGCACATTTCCTTTCATACAGTGTCTTCTGCTCCCTCATTTTCTCCCAGTCCTTTCCTCCCTTCTCCATCTACAAGTTGTATAGTTCACTTTCATTAGTATCCAGTGAGCTCCATGGCTGCACTTTTTCACCCTTCTTACCTCAAGAAGGATGATTTTAAGCAGAAAATGTCCTGGGTCACTGCTTCAGGAAAGGGTACCTCCCTAAACTAATATTTAAGAATGAGAGCCTGGCACCAGTGGCTCACTCCTGTAATCCTAGCTACTTAGGAGTCTAAGCAAAGGAAAGAAAGCTCAAGAGCCTTTCTCAACCCTTAGTTGGGCACGCTGATCTTTCATCCAAGCTATGTGTGAAGTTGAGATCTAGAAGTCCATTCTAGCCTAAACAGAGAAGACCTTGAGACTTCATCTCCATGGACAGAAGCTTGATGTGGTGGTGTGCCTGTGAGCCAGCACTGATGGGAAGCCTGAAGCAGGCACATCAAAGCTCATGCCTACACCCAGGCAGGCAGGGAGACCTTTATCCTAAAAATACCAGCAAAAAAAAACAGAGGTGACATAGAGAAGAATTACAATTGCATGAGTCAGGTCATGAGCACATTTCCCTTCATACATTGTCTTCTGTGGCTCAGCAGTATAGCACCAACCAAGCAAGTGCAAGGCTTTGAGGTCGAACCCCAGTATTGCCTGAGCGTGAGGCAAGAGTGAATGGGCAGAAGGGGCTCCCACAAAGGAATCCAGAGCCAGTCACAGAAACAGCAAGATGATGGAGAGAAAGTTCTAGAAGCCAGGAGTAAAATTTGTTTGTTTGTTTGTTTTTTAAAGATTCAATCATAGCACCAAGCACTGCTGGGTAGCCCCCCTGGGTTTTCTTATAGGAAACTACTGGGAAAGTCCTATAGGAAATTCGTGTCAAGGGGACAGAAATTGGGGAGCCACTGGGATGTGAGGCACGTGATATAGAAGTAGTGAAAATGTTCCTGCTACAAAATCCCAAACTGCATTGTTGGGGCTTGGGGAGAAGGGTTGGTGTCTCTTGTGGGTGGCGGTGTGGAGAATTGGGGATCATCTGTGAGAACAATGTTGGGCCTTCATAGTTACCATACAAAACTGGACAATGGGATTGGGAGTTGGGATGGGATACCAGGGCGCAGGGCAGTCAGACAGGGTGACTCCAAGGCCAGTCCTGGCATTACACATCCTTGAGCAAACTAGTTAGGAGCAGGATTAGGGAGTCGTTATTGGAATAAAAAACTATATCAAAAGCTGGACGCCAGTGGTTCACGGCTGTCATGCTATGTAGGAGGCTGAGATTTGAGGATGGTAGTTCCAGCCCAGGCAGGAAAGTCTGTGAGACTCTTTTTCTGATGAAACACCAAAAAGCCAGAAGTGGAGCTGTGGCTCAAGTGGTACAGCATCAGCCTTGAGCAAAAAAGCTCAAAGATAGTACCCAGGCCTTGAGGTCAAGCCCCAGGACTGGCACTATAACCCGTCAAAATAATCAGTATACTACTAGGCAGGTAGATAAGAAATGTGCCTGGAAAGGACTTTGGAGATATGGGACCAAAAGACACGACAACTTGCCCTCAGCTTTCTTCCTGAACCAGAGGAGAGCTGTTGTACAAAGTGTTCACGCCACTGGAGCTAGGCAGCCTGAGCTTATTCATTCATCTGGACCCTTCCTATGAGGCTGGATAGACTAGGGGAAATGAGACATGGTAAATGGAATTCAAAACACTTAAAGATATTCATTCATCTACTTCCCTTAAGACTAAGGGACCAAAGTCATTTTAGGGGAAAAGAGGCAGAATACATTGAGGAAAACAAGGCCTGGTGAAAGCAACGCAGAAACAGGGTATTTAGAAACACAGAAGCACCATCTTCGCTTCTAAGAGAGACAACAAGATGCATTCCTTCCTGGGAGATGCATTTCTCACCCCAAGAATTAACATTTGTTTAGCAGGATGTATCCTTTCTGGGAGAAATGCTCCTCCAAAATGCAGACAACCAGAATGGTAACCTAGACCCAGAAACTTAGAAAGTGTAACAATACCAAGAATGATTGAGCACAAAGACAAACACCTACATTTTCATAACTTTCAAGTCAGACCTCCTGCATTTACCATGTAAACTCCCCCCACAACCAAAGAGCTGTCTCTCCTCTAGCGCACCCACTCTCTTTTGGAGTGTCTCTGCCTTTCTGCTTGTTTGTCTGTCTGCATGTCTACTTGCCTGTTGCTTGCTCAGTTGCCTACACAATAAAGGTCGTCCAAGTTTTCTTTTTATTATTATTGTGGGGTATTTTTTTGTGTGTCGGTCATGGGGCTTGAACTCTGGGCCTGGGCGCTGTCCCTCAGCTCTTCAGCTCAAGGCGAGCGCTCTACCACTTGAGCTACAGCGCCACTTCCTTGTGGGGTATTTTTTGATCAGTGGTTGGGATTGAACTCTGGGCCTGGGCACTGTCCCTCAGCTCTTCAGCTT